CAGCATAACCTCATAGGGAGTGGCTCTATTATTAGGTATGACTTTGTTGGAGTAGATATGGCTGCTATTGGTTGTTTTTGCTCTTTAGGGAGGCCTGCTACCCAGATCCCAAATAAATCACACATGGAGGCTTATTCTTAGTTATAAACGCCTGGCTCTAGCTTGGCTTGTTTCTTACCAGCTTTTCTTTTTATTTGACAGGGTTTCTCTGTGTAGCTTTGCACCTTTCCTGGAACTCACTCTGTAGCCCAGGCTGGCCTCAAACTCACAGAGATCTGCCTGGCTCTGCCTCCTGAGCACTGGGATTAAAGGCATGTGACACCACCTGGGGCTTGCCAGCTTTTCTTAACTTTAAATTATCCCATCTACCTTTTGCCTCTGGGCTTTTCCCATTCTCTTACTTGTGTAAATCTTACTCTTACTCTGTAATTTGCTGTGTAGCTGGGTGTCTGGCCCCTGGAGTCCTCCTCCTTCTCTGGCTACTTCTTTTTTTCTCTCAGATTTCTCCTTCTATACATTCTCTCTGCCTGCCAGCCCTGCCTATCCTTTCTCCTGTCTTGCTATTGGCCATTCAGTTCTTCATTAGACCATTAGGTATTTTAGACAGGCACAGTTACACAGCTTCACAGAATTAAACAAATGCAACATAAACAAAAGTAACACCCCTTAAAATAATATTCTACAACATATGACCTTGTTGGAGGAAGTGTGTAACTATGGAGGTAGGCTTTGAGGTCTGATACATGCTTCTGATATATGATAGTTCACTTCCTGTTGCCTGCTGTTCAAAATGTAGGACTCTCAGCTCCAGCACCATGTCTGCCAGCATGCTGCCATGTCCCACCATGATGATAATGGACTAAACCTTTGAACTGTAAGTGAGCCAGCACAATGAAATGTTTTCCTGTATAAGAGTTGCTGTAGTCAGTGTGTCTCTTAACAGCAATAGAAAGCCTGAGACACTTTGCTGGGCAGTGGTGGCACACACCTTTAATCCCAGCACTCGGGAGGCAGAGGTAGGTAGATCTCTGTGAGTTTGAGGCTAGCCTGGTCTATAGAGGAAGTTCCAGGATAGGCTTCAAAAACTACACAGAGAAACCCTTCTCGAAAAACCCAAAAAAAAAGAAAAAAGAAAAGAAATCCTAAGATAGTGACCAAGACACACCCACACCCCTGTGAACATGCATACATAAATGCATGTGTACACATACACACCACACATGCATACAATTAACCAGATAAAAGAAAAACACTGAGCCAGGCGGTGGTGGCACACGCCTTTAATCCCAGCACTCGGGAGGCAGAGCCAGGCGGATCTCTGTGAGTTCGAGGCCAGCCTGGGCTACCAAGTGAGTTCCAGGAGAGGCGCAAAGCTACACAGAGAAACCCTGTCTCGAAAAACCAAAAAAAAAAAAAAAGAAAAAAAAAGAAAAACACTGAATTGTAGTGTTATGGCCCCTGCTTAAACATCATACTACACTTAGGACAAAATCCCAGTTTAGGCAGCAGGATTTACCTACCCACTCCTCCAGCTTTAATGTCTGTCTCTCATGTATGTCCCTACTCACACAAACCAGTCTTATTCTTTCCAAAGCCTTTGCATGGTCTGTTCCTTCTGTCTAAAATACAGTTTCTGATGCTTAACACATGACTGACTGTTTTTCACGGCAATGTCTTTGTTCCAATGATGCTTCCTTTGGGTGTTGTCCTCTGAGCACTTGCATACGTACATTATATGTATGTATGGCCTCCACAAAAAAGCCAGGCATGGAGATGGAGTGGTGGTATGTAACCACATGCTGGGAAGAAGAAGCAAGGCAGAGACAGGCAGATGAGTGGAGTTCCCTGGCCATACATCCAGTCTAGTCAGTCAGTGAGAGCTGGGTTTCGTGAGAGATCCTGCCTCAAAAAATAGGTGGAAAGCAATGAAATAAATCACTCTTTTCTTCACATACCCATACATGGGTGCACACCCAAAGATATACACATAGAAACACACACACACACACACACACACACACACACACAAACACACACCCCACAACAAAAATAAATAATATGCCAGGTGGTGATAGTGCATGTCTTTAGTTCCAGCACTCCAGAGGCAGAGGCAGGCAAATCTCTGTGATTTCAAAGCCAGCCTGGTCTATGAAGCTAGTTCCAGGACATCCAAGGCTACACAACGAAACCCTGTCTCTAAAAACCATAAATAATAGGATTTAGTGACAAGGCTTAGCAGCTGAAAGCACTATCTGCTCCTACAAAGGAGTCAGTTTGGTTCCCAGCTCCAGATCTGGATCACAGTTATCTGTAATACCAGTTCCAGATACCAACATCATCTTCTGAACTCCGAGGGCACAAAGCATGTACATGGTACACATACGTACCTGCAGGCAAAACATTTATACACATAAAATATCTAAAAATTATTATGACAAATATTTTTCTCCATCTTAGCACCTTTGCCATTTGGGGCTGGTGGGAACCTGCCTGTTGTGAGGTGTTTTCAGCATTCTCCACCCACTAGATGTCAGTGGTGGCCCCTTCCCTATGGTGATATTTTATTTGTATTAAAATGCTATTTGTATGTTAATAAATAAAGTTGCACGGGGGTCAGAGCTATTAGCAAGTCATAGGAAAGCAGGGCAGTGGTGGCGTACGCTTGTAATCCCAGCACTTGGTAGGCAGAGCTGGGTAAGTCTCTGTGTGTTCAGGGATACAGCCAGTATTGGATACACATGCCTTTAATCTCAATACCAATCATAGAAAACCTGGAGGTCTATACAGACAGGCCGTGAGGAGGCGGTCATGTGGTTGGGTTTACAACCAATGAGAAGGCAGAACAGAAATTCTATATAAGGACTTTAACACAGGAAGTAGCTCTGGTTCGGAGAGGTAGGACCACTGCAGGAGGAAGGGTAAGGTTTTAGCTCTTAGCTCTGACCTCTTGGCTTTCTTCTTTGCATTGGTTCTGTGTTTCTTATTTAATAAGACAGTTGGTTACTTCTACACTTCCCTGCTCTGACAATCAACCAGGGTTTCCGATTGTTGGCCCCATCTGACAATCTGCTGCTTGGAACAGAGTCAGCATCTCACTCCTCCAGGTTCTTGAACCAGGATTGTCCAGGTGTGACACAGTTATTGCCCAGGTGTGACTCCATAGTTATTGTCCAGGTGTGACACCTTTATTGTCCAGGTGTGACACAGTTATTGCCCAGGTGTGACTCCACAGTTATTGCCCAGGTGTGACACAGTTATTGGCTGCTTGGAACAGAGTCAGCATCTCGCTCCTCCAGGTTCTTGAACCAGGGTTGTCCAGGTGTGACCCAGTTATTGCCCAGGTGTGACCCAGTTACTCTGCCTGCTGGTACTAGAAACAGTTTTGTTTCTGTGTTCAGCCTGGGCAACAGTCTCAAAACAACAAAACAAAAAACCTAAACAAACAACCACAACAAAGTAAAGAAACAGCATTTTACAGCATGTCATCGCCATCATCAACAACAACAACCGAAAACATATTTACAGATTACGTGTTTTTAATCTTTTTTTAGTTTGCCTATTTTGTTCTAGTATTTCATAGCAGGACTTTTGACAAACATATTGGGCAACTAAGTGTAGCCAATTTGATAAACAGATGGGCCCCATGAGCTATGGGCGGAAGAGTTTATTTATTTATTTATTTTGGTTTTTCGAGACAGGGTTTCTCTGTGTTGTTTTGGTGTCTGTCCTGGATCTCGTCCTGTGGACCAGGCTGGCCTCGAACTCACAGAGATCCGCCTGGCTCTGCCTCCCAAGTACTGGGATTAAAGGTGTGCTCCACTACTGCTTGGCAGTAGACTCTTTTTGAGAGTAGTTCAGTATGTACCATAGGCTGGCCTTGAACTGTTAGCAATTCTGCCTCAGCCTCCCAAGTGCTGGAATTTGAGGTGTGAGCCTCGATGTCCAGCTTTTTCCATCACTTTTTAGAAAGCCTTTATTTTTATCTTTTTTTTTTTTTTTCCAGAGCTGAGGACCAAACCCAGGGCCTAGCGCTTGCCACTGAGCTAAATCCCCAACCCCAAGCCTTTCTTTTTAGAGGCCTTTCTTCCATTATATCTTCTTGCTAATGACCCTCTAACATTAAGAAATAGTCCAGTGTAACAGTTTTCCAGCAAATTTGGGAATGGTTTATATGGATTTATGGACTTGGAAGTGCTTTTCTTTTTTTTCTTTTCTTTTTTTTTTTTTTTGGTTTTTCGAGACAGGGTTTCTCTGTGTATCTTTATGGCTTTCCTGGATCTCACTTTGTAGACCAGGCTGACCTCGAACTCACAGAGATCCGCCTGCCTCTGCCTCCCGAGTGCTGGAAGGCGTGCGCCACCACCGCCTGGCTTAGAAGTGCTTTTCAATCTTGCTTCTCTCATATCACACATGCTTTAAGTGAGCTAAACACACACTCACATACACACTTTAAAAAAAATTAAAACAACAAAACCCAGGAGGTCAAATAAAAAAACAAAAACAAAAAAAACTACATGATGAGTGGGAGATGGAGCTCAGTGGTAGAAGTTTGGTTCAGTCCCCAGGACCACATCAAACAAAGCCACACCAACCTCTTAAAAGTCCCGTGAAGTAACCAGAAAGCACTTGTGCACGTTTGTTTTAGGCTCAGACTTCCGCACTAGAGTGTAAACTTCATGAGGGCAAGGACTTCTGCATCTCGCCTTTTTCTCAGCTTCTGACCTTTGCACACAGCAGCAGGTTAACAAATGTTGACACAGAGGAGTGACTGCGCAGAAGCGAACATAAAGCCGAGAAAGAAAGGAAGATAGGCCTGCTTTCCCAGCCCAGCTTGAGCTCCCGGGAAACTACAACTCCCAGCATGCCTGGACACAACAGAACCAGGCTCGGCCCCTGACGCCCTAGCGTGTCTAGAGGGCTCAGGCCGGCTGCGGCGCCCGCCGGGACTTGTGGTCCCAGCCGCGGTGGGGGTGGGGCCGGCATGGAGTCGGGCGGGGGCGGGGGGCGGGCGCGGCCCCTCCCCCGTCACTTCCTGCCGGGCTGCGGGCGCCGGAGCCGCTCTTCAGCGTTTGCGCTGGCGGTCGTCGCGTCTGTGTCGTCTCCCCCCCCCCTTCTTCTGATCCCCAGCCCGGCGGCGCCCGCCTCCTCCGCGGCCACACCGCCTCTTCCCTCCCCTGGTCCCTTCTTCCTTGCCCTCTTCCCTTGCTCCTTCCCCTCCTCGCCGCCGCTCAGGACCGCCGGCCCGGGGACGAGCTCCGTGGAAGCAGCCAGGTGAGGCGGCGGGGCCGGGCCTCGGTACGGCCCTCGGAGGCACGGAGGCAGCGGGAGGTGGGCGGCGGGTGGGCTAGGCCTCGCGGGCGCGCGTGCTGCGGCCCAGGCCCGTCTCCGCCCGCGGGGCCTTCCCGGAGGAGGCGGGCCCTCTGCGCCGCTCGTGGGCCGGGTGCCCGAGTTAGGCGGGGGCGCGGGCAGGGTCTGGGCCGGTCGGGAGCCCCCCGGGCCTCGGCGCTGTGCAAAGTGCTGCGTGCGGCCACTGCCGAGCAGTGGGACGTGGTGCCAGTTCTCGGTTCTGCCCCCTTCGCAAGTCACTTCATACTCTTTGTGTCTCTGTTGCGAGGGGAAAGGCGGGGGTAGAGAACTAATCCTGTCCCGATCCTGTCCCTGCCTCTTTAGACGGCAAAGGTGCATTGAAATGGGGCGTGTAAAGCGCTTATCAGCGTGCCAGACCCACATCGTGTCCCAATAAACGGTTTGCATAATTTATTAGCGTGATATGAAGGTATAATTTAGGGTGCAGACTGGACAGAAGTTGACCTACCTTCCCATTTGGGTTTTCTCCGAGGCAGAAGAACCCGCGTGCCCACTGCCAGCGCCTGGGCATTGTGCTTGCTTAGCATCAGAAAGGGGCGCGCGCTTAATGGGGACACTGTAGCGGGCCAAATAGGGATGTAAAGACATAGCCATCCTTTCTGTAGAACCAGCTGCGGGGATTTCACCGGCTCCCCAAGCTCAACAATCTGTCCCATGTCTCCCTGCCACCATCCACAAGCTCCCCTTGGGTTCAGCAGACCTTTCTGGAGCCCTCCTGTGTGTCAGGCTCTGGAGGTGGAGTGTGCGAAGCTGTGAAAACGCTGCTTTTCTTGCTCCACATCTGCAGCTCTTCACTTTGTTTGGTTGAACTTCTCTTTCACTCCGGGGTCCCAGTTAGCAGTTTCCCGTAAACCCTGGCTGCACCTCCCTCCCTGTGGCAATATTGCTAGTGTGGAAGCTTTATTTTGTTCCGTGTTGCCCGTCGTGGTGTGGGGTCCTTTGTAAAGGTCACTCTTTTCATCTGCTTGTAGCTGTAATTCTTGAGAAGGTGTTAGAAGAGATTTTGGTTTTTCAGGCATCTGTGCTTACCAAATGAACTTACATCACTACTTGTTGAAGTAAAAACTAAAAATACAGTTGGTGAGTGTGGAAGAACGGTCTTGGCCATTCTGGTGAACTTTTAGAAGAGCATCTTTTCTGTTCTGACTCAGCCTTTCTCTCTTTCTTTAGGAAGATTAAGTTATTTTGTTTTTATTTCTGAGTATTGTACCGGCAGCAGCTGTTGAAATCAGAAGACTACTTTTGGATTCTGTACGTTGCCAGGCTCCTTGGTGCATGCTGAGCCGTCTCAAAGTGTCTGGTTGGTTGTTTGGTTGTTTGAAATCTGTGCTTAGTGACATAGGCATCCCCTCCCTTAAAGACGTGTAAGTCCAGATTTTCGAGTAGTATAGTGTGTTTGTGCTCAGTGACTCTTCTGTGCCTTAGCATGTTTGTTTGTGTTTTCCGAGACAGGGTTTCTCTGTGTAGCTTTGGAGTCTATCCTGGAACTTGCTCTGTAGACCAGGGTATCATCAAACTTAGAGATCCTCCTGCCTCTGCCTCCTTTAGTGCTGGGACTAAAGGCATGCCACCACTGCCCAGCTGCTTGAGGATTATTTTATGTGTGTGTGTGTATTTTGCCTTTGTGTTTATGTGGGCGTGTACACATGTGCATGTCCCTGTGTGCCTGTGGAGGCCAGAGGTCAACCTCTGGTGTCTTGCTCTTCCTTATTTTCTGAGACAGTCTCTAAGCATGATGCTTCCCCTGACCTACTCATTTCTTCAGCCCCTCTGTCACCAGATTGCTTTGGGCAGTGAATTTCCTTAGTACGTGGAAAATGTTTATATCACACCCACCTCAATAATGCAAGGCAGCCTCTGTGTTTTTGACATCTTTCTAAAATTTGTAACAGTCAGGAAATAGTTTCTAGTGTCAGTTGTTGAGTGTAATGGCTTTTTAACAGCCCCTCAACAAACGATTCTGCAACAGTGCCAAGCATAGCCTTTGCCACATCGAAAATATGGTAGTTCCAGGGAATTGATATTTAAATGCTGTGGTGGAGAGCCTGAAGTTATTTTTTTAGCCTTTTTTTTTTTTTTTTTTTTTTGTACAGTATCTTTAGCTTAGGCTGACCTTGAATGCCTATCAGTCCTCCTGTCTCACCCATGAAGGTGCACAGATTACAGGTGTGAGCCGTCACGCCTGGCTTCTGAAGTTATTTTTAAGTATGAAAGTTGAACACTCTAGAGGGCACTGTGAATTGGTTGCCCAGCTTTGGCAATTATTAACTCCTCGATAAGGTCAGTCCATTTCTTTTTGACCTCCATCCTGTGAGCTAGCTTGTTTGAAACAGACCCTAAACCTGTCATAATCTAAGTCATTTTGACTTTACCATATCACCTCAGATTGCCTATTAAACTGTTAATAAAACAACATTTCTCAGTGTACTGGAACTGACAGGTTTTTTTTTTGTTTTTGTTTTTGGTCTGGTTTCTTTGTTGACATATGATTAATACACAGCAGAAAAAGAGCTGCAGAGTTAGCGGATTCCCCTCCTCAAGGTAGAGCCCAGATTTCAGTCTTTCTCCTTATGGACTGAATCAACTGTTCCTGAACTATTAATGACTAATTGAAAACTGGAGCAGTGGTGAATGTCTTTGATCCCAGCACTTGAGAGACTGAGGCAGGCAGAGAGAACCTGTCTGGAAAGGAAAAAGAAAAGGGCCGTGGGACTGCAGCTCAGTGGTGGGACACTTGCCTGGCATGCACGAGGCTCTGGGTTTAACCTCTAGCCTGCAAAGCTCCCAAACGTGTGCATTGCTGTCTGAAGGGCCCTGAGGTGTTCACAAACAACTGAGTGTTGAAATCATCCTTAGCTCTCTGAACGGTATGGAACCCTAGGTGAGGGATTGGTATTCAGAGATGAGGAGGACCAGAATGGTGTCAGTGTTTGCTGCTCTTACTCAGTTTTCGCTGTAACTTTGTTATTTCTGTGCTGCAGGTGTATATCAGAGCTCCCTCAGTACAGTGCTCTGCTGTTTCAGTTGTTGCAGCCTGGGGGGTAAGGAGGGGCGGGCCTCTAAACATTAGTTTAGGAGCCTGTTTTTGTTTTTTCTCTGATTTTTTTTTTTTAAAGGGAAGGACAGGGGATGGAGGTTTTTTTTAAAATTTTATTTATTTATGTATTTTTTAGGTATGTGTGTTCTGTCTACATGCATGTCAGAGAGAGCTTCAGATCCCATTATAGATAGATGATTGTAATCCACCATGTGGTTGCTGGGAATTGAACTCAGGACCTTTGAAAGAGCAGCCAGTGCTCTTAACCTCTGAGCCATCTCTCCAGCCCTCCCCCCTCTTTTTTTGATTTTTTTTTTTTTTTAAATTTTTTTTGAGACAGGGTTTCTCTGCGTACCCTTAGCTGTCCTGGATCTCACTCTGTAGACCAGGCTGGCCTTGAACTCACAGAGATCCGCCTGGCTCTGTCTTCCAAGTGCTGGGATTAAAGGTATGAGCCACCACTGCCCTGCTTAGAGCCTGTTCTTAATCCCATAATTCCATATATAAGAAGGAATAAAAAAAAATTAAAAACACTTGATCTGCCAAGCGGTGGTGGTGGCAGCGCACGTTTTTAATCCCAGCACTTTTGAGGCAGAGGCAGGTGGATCTCTGGGTTCAAGGCCAGCCTGGTCTACAGAGCGAGTTCCAGGACAGCGAAGACTACAAAGAGAAAACCTGTCTCAAAAAACCAACCAACCAACCAACCAACCAACCAAACAAACAAAAACAAACCCATTTGGTCTTTCCCATTAGGCTTAAAGTAAAACTTTGGGGTACTTAGAATTTTTTTTCTTTTCTTTTTTTGTTTTTTTTCAGACAGGGTTTCTCTGTGTAGTTTTTGGTGCCCGTCCTGGAACTCACTCTGTAGACCAGGCTGGCCATGAACTCACAGAAATCCGCCTGGCTCTGCCTCCTGAATGCTGGGATTAAAGGCGTGCGCCACTGCTGCCCGGCTGTAAAGTGAATTTTTTGCTGTACTTAAAAATAGGTGTTCTCTTAAGTTTCAGTCATAACGCTCATTTATATGCACATTACTTTAAGTTTAGACATGAACTTGACTCATGGATCCCCCTTAGTCTTTAGACTCCTAAGTCTACACGGGAGCATCATTCCTGCTGTAATCATGGCAGGTCAGACAGCAGGAACCCAGGGTGGACACCTTTCCTGTGTAGGTCCTGTACCTAGACTTGGGGCAAACAAGGTGTCTTCAGAGTTGATCTGCTCGGTTTTCCAGGCTGCAGGTTTTTGAAAAACATAGAACTTTTATTAGTTTTCTTCTTTGACAATTTGCGTACACTGCAGTCTGACTGCGCTCCTCACTGGCCCCTCTCATACGGGGTGTTATGACCTCTATACTATGCTGGGCCATCTTAAGTGACACTGTTGCACCCCTCAGTTGACAGGTTTGGGAGTTGCTTGAAAAGCATTCTAGCCTGGAGGTTTGTTTTTTTGTTTTTTTGTTTTGTTTTTTTTTTTTAGGTTTTTCGAGACAGGGTTTCTCTGTGTAGCTTTGCGCCTTTCCTGGAACTCACTTGGGTAGCCCAGGCTGGCCTCGAACTCACAGAGATCCGCCTGCCTCTCCCTCCCGAGTGCTGGGATTAAAGGCGTGCGTCACCACTGCCCGTTAGCGTGGAGTTTTAAAAACTTCAAAACTATTGACAGGGTTTTCATGACTTGTTTCACAGCAGACCTGTTAAAGGATGACGTGTGTGGAATTTTCTGTTTTTTTTTTTTTTTTTTTTAAACACAAAAGCCAAAACTCCTTACTAGAATCAAAGCTGTAGTGTTTATGCTGCTCCAAAATATAGAAATTACAGGCTAAAGGGTTGAACATGAGAAGACCTGTGAGCTGTTACGGTTTACTTTC